GTGCTGCGTCATCCATTTCTTTACGACGCTACCTGCGTTCCGAACCCGGTATTTGAGATCTGCATTCTCATTGCATTCTTAACATCTAACAACAGCAGGGCCGCCCAGCGATGTTCATTCCGTCTGTTGCGCAATGCTTCGAGTACACTCATGATTGCATCAATCGTGCTTTTCCCTTTACAAAAACTAAATTGAATCCGAGATAAACCACCTGACCTCTCAATCATGTCGTCTATGCGCACTCGCAGCATCCTTTCATATAGCTTACTGATGCATGGAAGAAGACAGATGGGGCGATACTTTTCCCTAGCTTTGGGAAGCAGTATTAACCTCGATATCCTCCAAGGCTCAGGAAAGCTTTGTGCTTCCAGCAATGCATTCATATATTCTAGAAGCCACACAGGCTCCACCCGTCCTAGACCCTTCACCGCCTCAGGTGGTATCTGATCCAGTCCGGGGGACCTACGAGTCTTGAGTGAACCCAATGCCTCGACAAGTTCATCCATGGTAAAAGGTACAGCCCGCTCAGCTCCTTCATCCCTCCATACACCATGACATCTGCCGTCCGGAAAGAGCTCTCTTGTTACCTCAAGCTTCTTGTCCATAGGCATTTCGTAAGGAGGATACGCATGGAACTTCTTCATAACGATTTTGTATCCCTGGCCCCAGATGTCCTCATCCAGTTTTTCACACAGCTCTTTCCAGTGCCTTCTTTTTTCTGTACGAATTTTCCTGTAAAGTTCCCTCTTCCTTGCGCGGTACCCTTAATCGATCTCCTTTGGAAGATTTTGGAAGCTAGAAAGCCCTGTTCAGTATTCAAATCTAAATATAAATTAAAACTATCATCGCGACTGATTTCAAAGAGATTTTGACAATATGTGACCTACTTAAAATAGCTGGACTGAGCGATAAAGACTTACGATCAATTACAAACTTATATTTGCATCAAGTAACAAAAAACTTGTGTAAACAAAAGAATTACTAAGAATAATCAAAGAGAGCAAAATGCAATACTTGGGTCATGTGTTGAGAGGCAAAAAATATGAATTACTTCAAGTTATACTGGAAGGAAAAGTACAGGGCAAAAGATCAGTTAGAAGACGCCAGAATTCATGGCTGAAAGACCTGAGGAGATGGTTCGACCGCTCATCTGCATAAATCTTTCGCGCAGCAGTTTTCAAAACCACAATTGCCATTTTTATCGCCAACCTTCGAAAGGAGACGGCGTCATGAGAAGAACAAAAATAAGAGTTGAATAGTAATTACAGGATGAAATAAATATAGAAAGTGAAGTGAAGCTATATGCTCTCACCTCTACTCTTTAACTTGTTGCATTCAGAAGAATTTATTTAACGAAGCTTTATCTCCGGTGAAGACAATAGAAGTACCTATTGTCGTTAATGATGTACCATTGTAGAATAAAAAGCCAAATAAGAGTCCGAACGTTTGTAAAAATGAGAAACATTTTGAAGCAACAAATTTTAAACTTCGAGGTAGACTGACGCATTGTCATATTTTTTTAGTACTTTAATGGAGTAGAGGCGAGGAGTCTATGCTAAAATTTGTCTACTTGAGCTACTAAATCCATGTTTTTGGATTTTTTAAGGTCTTTGGTGATCCTCCTCATTTATTTGTCACCTATCATTCTTCACACTAATCACTTATTAAGTAATCTTCCATTATTGAACATGACCTGTCAATCATGTGTTTAACTCTATTTGATCAACTCACATATTAGGACATAGGTTTTGGCAAAGAGCTCTTTTGTAAAAAGGTTTAAATACACCTAATTGTGATGAAAACAAAATATTTACATCTTGGTTGCACTTTTATCCAAACGTGACATTGTAGTCCACAGATCAACATTTGAGCAATTTATTCACCATTTATCGGTTAACAAGAATAAATACCTTGCTTTAATATAGCTAAAACTGGAAGATATCTTGATTCTTTATGCTATTTTTGGCTTATTCACAAAAACTATTGTTGGGCATAAATATCTGCTCTTTAAGATACCACTAGCAAAATTGGTTGCTAAATAAATAAAAAAGCATTAATAAAGTTTTATTTTTTATTGTACAAAGTTAAATACAATCCATTCCTTTAAAAAATAAAAATAAATATATAAAAATAAATAAGCATTTCAATAACAAACTCTTATGAAAAAAAAAATATATACTATCTACTAATTATTTTGGTTAGGAAACATATTTTACTTTAAACTTCCATAAAAAGTGCTTTATACTATAAAAATATACAATTTTAATTTTCAAGTAAATGAAAATGTCGCACATTCCAAAAAGCAAACATTTTTCTTGAAAATAAAACAGTTCTCTTGAGGATTACAGAAGATTTTCCTCTAAGATTTTCTCTGATGTCCTTTTTACTTATACATTATCGCCATCGTTTTAGTGTCGCCTCTTCTTTCATTATACAATGTATACAATGAGTTTTTAAAAAGCATTTGTCTAATGTCTTTCCATATTTTTACAGCTTTCACAAATGTTTTGGATATAGGCATTAATCCTATTTTATACCTCTTGTCATTTTTAGTCAATAAAAAATGAATGTGGTAAAATTTGTTACGAGATATAGTATCCCAAGTATGTAATATAGTATGGCAAGGAACACATAGTAGAACAAGCAACTTCCATAAACTATATGGGAGCAAATAAAAAAAGCCAGTGTAACAAAAAAAAAAAAGAAATCCTATCAAATCAGACCTTAGTCTAGAGCTCACAATCCGGTTAAGACCAGCTGTCTTGCTGTGAAAGTTGGACAATTGACTCTAAAACAGAAAAAAGAATAGATGCCTTTGAGATGTATATATACAGACGGATGCTGAGGATTCCCTGTCTACAAAATTACCAATGATGAAGTTCAACGCTTCAGTAAACAAAAAATAATACTAAGCATCATCAAAGAGAGACATATCCAATACTTGGGTCATATGTGTTGAGAGGTGAAAGTACACATTTAACATTGCTCTGGAAGTATATTCAAAAGATTTTTTAAATCCTGGTTCATATTATTTCTGTTTTGTATATATTTATTGTAACATAGATTGTTAATTTAGGTGTCCCATAACTCAGACGATAGAATATCTGATTACAGAACCAGGTTTCAATTTTCATGACAGGAAAACCAAAGTTGTTTCTAAAAAGACTAATTACATATTGACTCAGCCTCTATAAATGATAGCCTGAAATTCAGTGATAAAATAGGCATTTCAAATATTTGTTTGACTATATGGCTTTGTTAACTTAAATCCATACCACAATAAAGAAAAATAAAAAATAAACCCTAAAAAATAACTATAACATCAATACATAAACCTAAAATTTAAATACTGACCCCAAATTTGTCAAATTGTTAAAAACTGGATTATTACATTGCATATTGACCTTGTTACAGTGCGTGCAAGCACTCCTGACCACGGCGCAGTAGACAAGAGTGCTTGAACTATCTTTACTATTATATTATTACAACTTTAGGTTAATATGACTCACTATTATTAAGGAAAGCTATAAACCAAGAACAAAACTAAAAGTCAGTGATGTCATCCATAGTTTTTTGGGAGTTAAGGTGTCTTGGGTGACGAGCAGGCATTACCTGTGTCATGTGAATTTATACCGGCATAAATATTTTACCACCATATTTTCTGATGCAATAAATATTTTGAGATAAGGGTTTTTATTAGATACTGCAATCAATAATATGAGCAACTTTTTTGTTCTTAATCCTACTATGCCTTACGATTTTAGGGTTTTCTCAAACTCTTCATATTTCAATATTATTGTACAGTACATGAATTTCTTGGTTTCTATTTTTTTCATCTGTGCATGTATGGAATCACATTTGGGGGTGTCCATGTTTGATGCTTTTTAATTTATAGTTTTATGCTTGCAACATGGTAAAATATTGTTTGTCAAGTTAGAATTCGGATTTTAGTCACTCATAAAAACAAAACGTAAAAACAAAAGAACTGGTTATAAAGTTTAAAAGAAATAATGTAGTTTCAACACATTTGAATCTAGGAACATTCAATATAACATTATATCAAATTTAAGGCAATTTGCCTTCTGTATCATGAAAGAAAAAATGTACTTCAATGGTTCATTTTTAACGAAAAACAACACTGAGTGTTTTTGTTACATATTTATAGAGAAATTGGCAATCCACAGTTCATGCTGATTGAATTATCTCCTATATGTGGCAAAACGACATTATTTATCTCAAGAAAATTTTAGGCCACCCTCAAAAAATTATTTTTAATATTGAAGTGACATCACTAACAAAATATTTCATACCTGACTGTACATGGTTTTTGTACCTAAAAAATTATCTTAAGCAAGTGTCACTGCAAGAAATCATCCAGATTAAAACATTAATAAATACATATTATTCTATCTGCTAGCTCCATTATTAACAAACAGATTTTTTATAAATAAAATAGTTTATTTTTGTACCCAATAACATGTTTATTTATAGATACATGAAAAATGATTTAATAACTATGCTGCCAACCATTGTAAAAAATAACTAATGCCATCATTCAAAAGCTTAATAGAAAATAATTACAAAAAATATCATCCTGCTTCCTTACCAACTTCCCTTAATGTGCAAATTAAAGTACAAATTATTTGATACTAGTTGTGGTGCAAAACTTAATTTTTTGTTCTTTTTAATACTGGGTACTGAGTCCCTTTATATGCATCATTCAATATGGTGAGAAATTACGAATAAAAAAATATTCCAAAATAGGATCGCCTTGTTATCAGAAATACAATGTTTGTATGGTAGCATACTGATTAATGTTTTGTCAAATTTTTGAAGCACCACAGTCATTTGCTTTTTCAAAAACAGTTTATATTAATATGGACATATTTATTATCCTCAAAGTTAAAACAAAATTAATAGCTTTCAATTTTTTAGAATTGAGACAAATGTGTAAGAACTTTTTGTAAACCTTTTTCATGGATCCTAAATATATCAACACTTCAATATACTATAGAAACTCCTCTCATAAACATATATCCACTGACTAAAAATCCAATAATTATGGCAAAAACATAGCTTAGATGAAAAGTGTGGCCAGATTGTTCCCTAAAAATAAAAATTCATTAAAAAAGTTAGATCAACACAGAAATTAAATAATATATTTCACTTTGGGGTATATTTTGTATTATACCTTATACCCCACTCTAAAAGAAAGGATTTGTGTGATATCGTTTCAGAAATTATTATTATCGTTATAGGTTTTATGATTTACCCGTATTTTGTTTTCATCATAATATGGCATTTTTATTTTTATCTTTTTTTACTGAAGTCAGTCTTTTATATCCTATTATATCTACATATTAGTATTGGTACTAGTGCTATAATATTATGATACATACTTGTACTTTTTGGGTGAGAACGGACTGGGAGGTTGTACTCCAGGTTCATTTGAGTCCAAATAAACCATTACCCAAGTGAAATAGGAGCTCAGAATACCGCATACGATTGGCAACCAGATATTACTGTATTTGGCAGCATGTTTCCATGTTGTTGTAAACATCTCTTGTCCATCTTCAGACCACACTTTGTAATAAATCAGTTTGTCTTCAATAAATGTTTTTTCTAACTGGTTTCCTAAAAGGTATAAGAAGTAATCATAGAATGTTATAAAATTGCAATAATTACGAATTATATTTATATTTCTTGGCTAAAAATATACATGTAATCATTACTTTTTCTATATTTATACATTGACCTACTAATAATAACCTTAACCTAATTTTGGTGTTTTTAGGAACTTCAAAGCGGTAAAAAATGAAAAACTTACCGTAATTGGTGAAAAATTTCACAACTATAATTATTAATGATATCACTAATCCATAAACAGCTACTTTCCATTCTGTCCACACGGTTTGCTCTTCTTTGGAGTTAACTTTATCCGGACTTATTGAGAAACGCACATTGTACCGTGGCCGCGACATATTTTTGTTAAAAATTCTTATATTTACCAGCTCGGTGTTTAAAAAGCTCAAAAATTTTATAAGAAAGTGAAAATCCTCTTATTAAATTCACTTACCTTATTTATGTATGACGTAAGCCGCTGCCGGAGATGGTCGGTGACATATGACAATGACACTGACATTATAACATGCCTGTAATGTTAGTTACGACTAACGTTAGATTTGGCTGGTATAATATACTGAACCGGTAGGGTGGGATTTTATTAACCCTTTCTTAGTTACTATATTATCAAAGAATATAGACGCTTATAATATAAGCGTCTATATTCTTTGATATTATATATGTTTTTAAGATAATTAGTCGGTCCGGTGTATTTTATAAACTGATATTAAATAGTGATGTATTTTTCTTAATATGTAATCAACAAAAGTTATAAATTACATTAAAATAAAACGAAATATATATTACCTACGCTATTATATATTAAACACAGATTTGATTACTAAACTAAATATAAAATACTTAGACTGGTTAGACAATTTAGACATATATGAACTGTTGCTGCGTGTTCCTTGCATACCATATACCAACTTGTTACATGACATGTATCGATGTATCGCATTTTATCGTTATCACCCTAACCCTTTTCCAACTGCATAAGTAAGATTTCTGTCTTATTTTTTCTTGAGGTTCCTTATTCGTATCTTGTTGCCAACTGCATAAGTAATATTTCCCTCTTGTTTTTCCTGAGGTTCTTTATTCGTATTTTGTTTCCAACTGCATAAATGACATTTCTCTTTTGTTTTTTCTTAAGGTTCTATATTCGTATTTTAATAATCACTTGATTATTCTTAATTTGTTATAGATTGTATTTGCATTCAGACCCGATATATTGATGAACTGAAAAAGCATTGCTAAAGGCCACCTTCGAGTCTTCCTTTGTACTGTGTGGTTACTTACATCTCTCTACACTGTCTATATGTTACACCGCCTTTAGTGCTATTGTAGAATAGAACAATGTCTGATTTTTGACTCGCTGAATCCACGCTGTAGCTTGTATGCATGATGGACAATACAATAAGCGCTTTATTCTTGTTTACTTAATCAAGTCTTGTTGAAAGACACAAACAAATTATGGATACGGTCTTGTCTTGAAACGCAAAAGTTCAGCTGGTATATCTGCTTCAATTTTTTTCATTGTCCGAACTAATATAGTTCTATGTTGTAAAAGTACTGTGGCTAGTGCGTAACTGGTATAACGGTTATCACAAGATAGGTTTCTATTTTTTTCCATAAGGTGTCCATTAACCATTTTATAATTTCAGTCGAGGTATTTGGTTTTATGTAAGGCCCTTCAGGTTGTATCCGCAGGATTACTAATTATTTACATACAATATTATTTGGGTTTGTTGGGTATATATTGGATGAAACTACATCTTTCTCTAAATGCCACTAGCTTTGCATCTACATCTTTCTCTAAATGCCAATAGCTTTGCAGCTACAACCATTTTATCCCCAATGTAATAATCCATGTTGCACTTGTCAACAAATTTGTAAAGTAAAAATAAGAAACGTCTAGGACTCATTCAACTTCGGCAAATGTTGCTATCTGTTTCATCCGTATACCATAGATCAAGGAAATGAGTGTGAGTTTACTTCTTTATTCCGGTAGGCAATAACATTCCAATTAAAACCATTATAGACAGTAATTTTATTAAATAGGCTAGTTTACGCTAATTTACTAGTAGACCAAGTAAGCAAAGATATCTTTAACAACATTTTTATGAATAATATTTTACCGCTCTGCTGTGTCAATCGGAATATAATATATCAAATAAACAAAGTTACGCATTTGAAGGAACATAAGGTTTTATCTACACATATCATTGAAAAATAATCCATATTTATTTTCTTAACACTTTTAACGACAAAGAGGTACTTAGCAGCGCTATCTGTGAATATCGTATTACCATTAAATTTATAAAAATTTCATTCAGAAAAAAAAAATAGTATTAGATATCTCTAAAAATCTCATAATTATTCTTTATCACCTTCTAACAAACCATCTGCCACTTCGCTAACGACACAATTTAACTCATACACCAGCTCCTACACGATGGCAGCCTGAGGTGCCCAAGTCCCAAGGGCCACAGCCATTCTTCAAGCCAAATCAAATGCTTTTACAACAACAGCCATTCAACAATAGTCCAAGAGGTACATTTCAACCCCCTAGAGTCTAACAAAATCAACAAATCACTCAATATGCACAAAATTCTACAACTAACCAACCCAATTTTCATAAACCAGATCCATCTTAATCATATAACCCAATACCTATAAGCGTATTCACACGCCAAACCGGCAATAGAACCCAATCTCAAAGAAATTTCTGATTTCAACAAAGAGCCAGCCCCCGATTCACAGTAGAAGAGCTCTTTAATATCGAACAACAAGAGCAATTATGACGAAGATATATAGACACATACCCAGATTACTGTGAACAAAAAATCCAAGAACATGAGGACGAAGATGTAAATTTTCAAAGATAAAAGAAATACTCATGGCTTAAAAACATAAGGGATTGGAAAAATCTCGATACCCAAGCACTTTTTAGAGCCACACAAGATCGAGAGGAGTATTCGAGAATTGTCGCCAACATCCACTAATTGGATAGGGCACCATAAGAAGAAGATACTAATTACTAATATAAAAATTACCACTAATACATTATGGAAGCAACACTATTGTTTATAAATACTAAAATAATTAACCAAAAACGCCTAAATAGGTTTTTAAAAACTAAATACGTTTTTTATAGATATATTAGTTGTAGATGAAATAGTACAGTATCTACTATTCTATAAGTTTCAGCATGCCAGATAAAATTCATTCAAACCGATAACATTCTTATTAAATTTTATTGTAATCTGCCAAAGTGTTGAAAAAAATAATTGATATGGGAACCCTGTTAGTATGACGATTCCATTGAAGCGTTTCGAGGCCGAAAGTAATGCCATCTATCGATGATAAATACTACAAACGTTTGAGATGAAGCCATCTGTCTAGTATACAATTTGATGGCGTCAGTTCAAGATATAATTCTTGTTTAACAGTTTTTTTATATGTTTGGGAAAAAATATTCAACGTTTTATTGCATATATTTTCCACTTTTACAGTTTTATATATGTTTATATTAAATTTTTTTCCGGTTTCTTACCGGTAGCTTTATTAATAGCCGGAACATATATTATTTTTTCCCATTGTGACAAAACTGTAAATTCAAAAATTTTCAAAAAATTCATAAGAATTTCTTAGGGGTATATCTTTATGCTGTAAGAGAATTAAATAAAATTTGTCTGGTTTTTCTGCTGTATACTTGTAAAAAAATAGTTTTTTAGAGTTTTTTCGAAAACGAAATCATGGAGTTTGCTCAAAATTTGTCAAAATACTTCTAGTTCTCACATATACCTTCTCAATTTTTTTCAAATTTTTTGAATTTGTAGTTTGTCTTTTGGGGGTGCAGATCAATCTTAAGAAGTCGCTGGTTAAATGATATTAGAATAATAATGAAGAAAAAATGCAATATTTTGACTGTAAATAAAAGTAGCGAAAATAGAAAATATTGAATTGTGAATAAATTACGAGAATTAATTAGCTTAAACTCATTACTGTTAACTACATAAAGAACATAGACTTACCCCTTGGTATATTCGTATATTTAATCGTAGCCAGTGCAGTAGATTGGTAGCGTTGACCGTCGCGACGCCATCCGAGGCGCAAAAAAAAAGTGACGGCCCGTGCTTACTCTATTGAATAACAAAAACAATATATTTTAAAGCAAAGTCATATATATAGATATATATATATATATATATATATATATATATATATATATATATATATATATATATATATATATATATATATAGAACAATAGTAATTAAGTCACATGCAAGTAAGATTTTACATCACGTCACACAGATACCAGATACTCGATGATCAATTGGATTCCATGCCTGGAAAATTAACGAGAGAGAAAACTGTAAATGACTGAAATATAATACTTATACCTATTTCTGCTTCATTACACTAAAACGTTCAATTTGCTTAACGTGAAGTAGGCTATGGCTGGAAAAATATTTAAACATGATAATAGACCGCAATACATCTCATATTTAAAAGTTGTTGATTTCTAAATATTCGATAGATTTAACTGCCTTGGATCGCTAATTATAAACAAAGGAGGCGTACGAGTTAATCGGGAGTAAATGCTGGAAAATATAACAACAAAGGAAACTTTACCAGATTAAACACTTCAATCTTTTCTATTGCCACATATGAATTTAAGATGGACGTTAAAGTTCGTAAACCGAAGAAAAATATATACCTACGAAATGCGGACCAATAGAAATGTGGCTATACTCGATTCGCTGATCCCAATCTCAACTGTCTAGTAAATTTATAGCAGAGCATACGTTACCATTTCGGATATAAAAAAAAACCAAAAATCGAGCTTACGTACCTTACGTAACGAGCTTACGTATCTTAGCTTGATTCTTCCGACGAATCTACAAATCCTAAAACGATAAAACTTGCCTCAAACACGGATTTAGTTTATAATGTACATAAGTGGTTTACTCAAAAAATATCCCAGGGAGAACTTATTTCTGGTCTTATTCTGTGTGAAAAACCAGTTCAATTCAAAGAAAGACTCGGAAGGCCGTCAAATGTTCAAGCAAGCGCAGGCTGATTGTTACGATTTAACTTGAGATATGACATAAACCCAAAATAAGCAAGGATCGTATCACGGCCTTAGGTTGTGCTAATACTACTAACAGCTGCCGATTGCCATATTTATCATTGGTAAAAGCAAGAAACTACGTACGCAAAGACTGCTGGGATGAGGAAACCTATGAGAAAAAGTACGATGCGTTCAACATGCACAAAAAAGAAAAAGAGATAACAGGACGCATAAAGAAATGCCAAATAGGTAAACTTGAACTAAGATAGGCAGAATACC